TAGGTCGAGACAAATATCGCGAGTTAAAAGAATTACTTTATTTCCTCTTTTAGTCCCTTCAGGCCACAACGGGGCGAATTCCTGGAGGTCTCTCGTTCTTTTGTTATGGTGCTTTTCAAGATTCCCTACTTTTCCGTTTTGTGTATTTTTCACCCCTTTTTTTTATCTTGTTTCCTTTTTTTTTATCTTGCTTTTTACACTTTCCCAATTCCATAATTTCCCCTCCTTCACCACTAGAGAGTGAGATTCTTGATTTTGTCTGATGGCAGGATACAGCGGCCATTCTCATTTTTTTAGTGTAGCTGCTACCTAACAAAAAGAAGTTTAATTTCTTTTAAATTGTTTAATTGAACTTTTTATTTGATTTAATGGTTTTTACCCACCTCTCCTATAAAAAAAAACACATATAGTTGTATATATGCCATGTGCGTATTATTATATGGTTTAGTGCAAGTTGGTACCGAATGATTAACGATGGTACGCTCCGGCCTTCTTCAGGATCTGTCTATATTCCTGAGATGAGGTATTGTAAGTATTTATACTGCTTACATTGTTCGAGCTGTTGTCCTCATCTTTGTTGGCACACATTGTTCGGACAGTTGTTCTCATCTTTGTTGTCCACTTGGGTATATATCCTTGATGACATATGGCAAAGTTTGATCATCAAGGCCAGCACGATTACCAGTCAAATCGACCATGGTGAGACTCGAACCCGGATCTCATGGTCAGAATGCGATGAACCACTTCAATGAAAATGTACGAACCATATCAATGAATGTCTATATATATATATATATATATATATATATATATATATATATATATATATATATATATATATATATATATATATATATATATATACATACATATGGGGAACCTCCATACTCTGGCACAATCAGGGCAATTTCAGAGTTCCAACTTGTTACATTATCATGCAATTAAAAATGTCGTATATATATATATATATATATATATATATATATATATATGAATGTATATATATATATATACATACATACATACATACATATATATATATATATATATATATATATATATATATATATATATATATATATCCAAGTATAAGGTTGGTGTATACGGAATAAATTCCAATAACCAACAAATACTATTCTTAAAAGAGTGCTCAATACAGAGTTGACTAAATATAATTATTCATTCGAAAATTATAACATAAATATAACATGTTATAATTTTCGAATAAATAATTATATATATATATATATATATATATATATATATATATATATACATATATATATATATATATATATATATATATATATATATATATATATATATATATATATACTGCCAACTCGTGTCCGAGTATGGGCATTACTACATATCTATTTGGAGAATATCTATTGATGTGTTGAACGAATGTGGCTCCTTAGCCCAGCAAGGGACCTACATACTCTGGCACAAACAGGGCATTTGAGAGTTCCAACAGCGGGTGTTATATTATCATAAAACTTAAAATTTCGCATGTAACCGCTTCTGGGCCCGCATATCTTACCACAAATATCATGTTGCTGGACGTCTACGGTTTTATAGTCAATTGCTACTTTCTGCTGGTGCTACATTAAGATGGCAAGCGCAGAAAAGATCTCCAGATATTAAGCAATACTTTTGAATGGAGCTTTTATTGTGGGCAAAGGCAGGGCACTGAGCCAATGCCACTCTCTAAGCAAAAGATGATATTTACCAAAAGAAGAGCAAATCGACATCATTGGACATCATCAAAAGCCGCTGGTGTTATATTAGAGTTTTCTTTCTCCCAGATGTCTGCCTTGACTCTGGCTAAGGAGGACATCTCCCCCGGTGGTTGAATCACGCCTTCAAACACCAACCGAAGCATTTCTACGTCCCAGCGCTATGTCCCACCTTCACTCTAGTTTGAGGACGGGGTAACTAATTACCCATAGCTTGGGTCCTAACAGGTGCTACCACCCCGGATTAGGGTGGACCTGGGAACAGCAGCAATTAAGAGGTGGTTTCACGCTCCACAAAACATACACATACATACATACATACATATATACATACATATATACATACATACATATATACATACATATATATATGCATACATACATACATATATACATACATATATACATACATAGATATATACATATATAGATATATACATACATGCATATATACATACATACATATATACATATATATACATACATACGTACATATATACATATATACGTACATACATACATATATACATATATACATACATATATAAATGTAGATTTATTTCTAAAGAACTTCAGAAGACTTATACAAATTTAAATAGAATCCTGTAATTATTTCTGATTTTATTCTGTTACAGTGGTAAGTACAGAAAATAATAAGGTCATTCTTGTTGGTAGATTTTCTATAAATCTCCAACTGTAGGTCAATATTAGTTCTATGCAGCATGATATCTGTGAAGGGTAAAGTTTTGTTCGACAGATTCAAAGATGAAATCTCTTGTGAGTTCGACGTTAATAGGTTCGCCGGCAAGATCGGGTAAAACTATGCCATGTGTATATTTTAATTGAGAATCATCTATTTATTTAAAATGAGCAGAATTTGTGGTAAAGTATTTTTGAAAGGCAACTTCCTAGAAATTCTTAAAACGGGTATGCCAAACGACCGCTACAAGGAGACGACATCAGTAAATTATTTTTATTATTATTATTATGGAAGATGAAAAACATTGATTAGTGATTAAATGACAGATTTTTATGATCTTATGTGTAATAATAGATAATCTTATTTTTATTTTTGTTAAATGTGTTTTAGAAAATATAGGCATTTTTCTCTGGAAATAATCCATGTCTGGCGATGGTGGGAAGAGGATTCATACATTTTCCAAGAGTATTTGAGCGTATATGGATATAACGAACCCAACGGAAATTGGAACTTGGCTCTCCAAGTGATAATCCTGAGCCATTATCAATTACACAAACGCACAACCAAGCGATACATAGATAGATAGATAGATAGATAGATAGATAGATAGATAGATAGATAGATAGATATTAACAGAATTGGATAGATAGATAGATAGATAGATAGATAGATAGATAGATAGATAGATAGATAGATATTAACAGGATGAGATAGATATTAACAGAATGAGATAGATAGATAGATAGATAGATAGATAGATAGATAGATAGATAGATAGATAGATAGATAGATAGATAGATATTAACAGGATGAGATAGATATTAACAGAATGAGATAGATAGATAGATAGATAGATAGATAGATAGATAGATAGATAGATAGATATTAACAGAATGAGATTGATTGATAGATAGATAGATAGATAGATAGATAGATAGATAGATAGATAGATAGATAGATATTAACAGAATGAGATAGTTAGAGAGAGAGAGAGAGACAGAGAGAAAGAGAGAATGGGCAGATATAGAACTTGAATAATTTCGTCTTTAAATCTCTAATAATTATTTCAGCCAGAAAAGGTTCTGTTTCTTCTCAAGTAATTGAGTTCAACCTAAAATTTTGCTGTTTTGTGCAAATATTCAGTCCGGACGCGAGATAACTATTTGATGATACCAATTTGTCTCCCCTTTTTCATACAAATTCCTCGTTCGTTCTGTTTTTTTTTCAAGTTTTTTATTGAATTTTTTTCCATTTTTTTTTTTTCAATTTTTCTTGTTTTCTTTTTCTTTTCTTTTTTTTTGCTGAATATTTACTCCTTTTAGATTTTATTTTTTTAACGCTTACGTTGTCTGCCCTTTTTTTGTTTTGTTCATTTTTAAAAGAACTGTTTGCATGCCATATTGCGATAGGCCGATCTAATTAATGTTAGCTACTTTGAAAACATGATCATCTGCCGACTATTTGTTACCGTCAACAAAACATATCAGGTGGTGTACATACTGGTAAGGTGATATTGGAATATAAGCATAGATAGATAGATAGATAGATAGATATCCATTGTTGCCAGTTTAGGACTGGTTTTCTGCGTCCTAATACTTTTTCATTGTTTTTGTGTTCTGCGTATTAGTGGCATTACTGCTAGATAGATAGATAGATAGATAGATAGATTTAAACAGATTTACATAGATAGATAGATAGATAGATAGATAGATAGATAGATACTGATTGTGATGGATAATGTGCCGAAATTAATTCCACCACCACCACCACCACCTTGTCAGTAGTGGCCGACGCGTAGAATTCTGTTACTGCTATGATAACAATTTAATGTGAGATTTTAATGAAGTGTTCCTGATCGACTCGTAATGACTCCACACAAAAACTGGGCCTCGCAGCTTTTGTTACAACCGACATTAACGCTCATCTAACCTTTTTATTTGCTCGACAGGAACCCAGCATGAATGCATCTGTTTCTCTTTCTTTTTCTTTTTCTTTTTTTTCTTGCAATAAATTTCCTTCGTTTTTCCTTTTTTTTTTGTCCCTTTTCTCATTTTAGTTTCCTCTTTTTTTTTTTTTTTTTTTTTACTCGCTGATTGCGTCGTAAACAATTCATTCGGCAAAATTCGTGAACAGCTCGTCATTTTCATTGAATAATGAAATTTATGTTAAGTTTCAGTAATATCTTTCTGATAATAATTCCCCATCCACCCCAATCTGAGTTCAAGGGCCATAAAAATTAAAGAATTATATATGAGTATGTGGTAAAAACTCTGTTTGATGTCCATTTTTTTAATCAACTTTTTTCATCAATTTACCCCAAGCAAGGCGATAATGCCACTACGACGCAATAGGCTACTTGGAGTGAAAGAGAATGAAAAGATTTTAGAAGAAACCAGAAACCCAGTCCTAAACAGGCAACAAGGGATTTCTATCTATCTATCTATCTATCTATCGATCGATCGATCGATCGTTTTCTTAAATGAATTCACCCCAAGCAAGGCGATAAGTCCACTAAGATGCAAGCGGTTACTGGGAATGAAAGACAATGAGAAGAGTTTAGAATGAACTGGAAACCCAATCCTAAACAGGAATCAAGGGATATCTATCTATCTATCTATCTATCTATCTATCTATCTATCTATCTATGTCTCTACATTGTATATCTATCTATCTATCTATCTATCTATCTATCTATCTATCTATCTATCTATCTATCTATGTCTCTACATTGTATATCTATTCATCTATCTATCTATCTATCTATCTATCTATCTATCTATCTATCTATCTGTCTGTCTTTTTTAGATCAATTTACCCCAAGCAAGGCGATAATGCCACTAAGATGCAAGGGGCTACTGGGAGTGAAAGAAAATGTGAAGAGATTAGCAGAAACCGGAAACCCAATCCTAAACATGAAACAAAGGAGAAACCTCTTCTCCTGTTCAAAAGATTGAGGTGGAGTGTGATGTAATTCATCTCCAACCTCCAATTAACTGCATTAAAATGAAAATATGTTGTAAATTACGTCTTAAAAAAAAAACCCAATCCTTAGTTCCACCTGTTTTCACCTTCACAGCTTAGACCCCCAACCCGATGCCACGCCCATTGCAACGAACCACCCCCCATTCCCATCGTATTCCATTGGGGAGATTTAAATTCAACTCCTACAGCTTCTTCCCACGAATCGTTGTTTTGTGGAACCGACTCCCAAGAGGATGCTTCCTCGATCAATAAAATCTTAACCCGTTCAATCTAGGATTAACCGTTATCTTCCCTACATATCCCCATAACCTGTGCGTCTTAGTCTGTAACACTCTACCTCGAGTGGCTCTTGGGCTTTGGACAGAGTGAAAATAATTGTAAAAAATGAAAACAGCCTCCAATTGAAGATTTTATTCACTAATTTTAAAGTAGTTTGTCACAAGGCCAATTGTATAACAGACTTGATGAACATATGAACTCAGTAATAATAAACAATGAGCCTCGCTCGTTAACCATTACTCCACGCCTACCTTCATTTAAGAACAAACGTTCTTTTTATTTCTTGTTAAATTTCATATCATTTATTATATTTTTATTTTCTTATATCTTTTGCCTTTGGCTATGTGTGAATTTAAGTGCATCCCAACGAAAATATCCACTCCTAACTTCAGTCTAATTAATATTGCCAAGTAAAATGTTTACTCCTGATAAACAAATAGAAAACACGTAAGAAAAAATAAATAAACACTAATTCCAGACAATTATTTGCCAAGTTTAAGTAACTTTGTAAAAGACATCTAAGAATAAATGTCCTTCCTTGTGGGTTTTAAAAATAACCTAGCCAGACCGCCAAATAAAAATTATTTATTACTATTTCGCGCCTACAACCTGAAAAACATCTTCATTTTCTGCTATAACATAAACATCGTGGATTTTACAACTACGAACACTAAATCTATTTTATAAATGTGTTTGATTCGCTGTCCGTCACACACTGTAATGTGACTTTGCAAAGGCGTGTGTAATGTATATGCGTATATCTGTGTTGTGTGCGAAAGACGTATGCGCTTGTTATTTAATGTACACACAAGTACATGCACACACACATATACACAGAATTTGACTGAATTTGAAATAAAACATTATAGTAATACATTTTCCCTCGAACTCAGTCTGGGCAACCACTACCTGGAGCTGAGTAATAGGGTAATAAATTTGGAGACAAGAAAAATAAATTTAAACCCCAAAAAAAACAAAATCATGTAATTAAAAGTTATTTAACTTTTTCGAAAATTTTTCGGTAACAGAATTATTTTTAAAATTTTCTTTTTTAATTCTGCAAAACTATTTTTAGATCTTTTTACTTTAATCATTTTACCACAAGAAAGGTAATAAAGCCACTAAGACGCAACGGTTTACTGAATGTTAGAGAATATGAGAAAAATTACTATGAAGGGGAAAATACAATAAAAGAGCAAAAATTAAGAAGACAGGTGATAGTGATTGATATTACATCTAAATTTTAAGCTTTTCTCTCCAAGCAAGGCAACAAAGCCACTAAGACGCAAGTGGTTATTGAGTGTTAGAGAATATTAGAAAAACTACTATGAAGGAGAAAGGACAATAAAAGAATAAAAATTAAGAAAACAGAAGATAGTGATTAACATTGCATTTAAACTTTTGAAGATCAAAGTTGACTGGGAAGCAAGAAGCCGGTAGAGAGTTCCACAATCGAGAAGTGCGAAAGATAAAACTGTTGCATTTTTTTATTTTAATATTATTTACTTAGAAAAGCTTTTTATTGCTTTTATAAATAAACTTTATTAAGGACACCATTGTCTTCAGAAAAAAATTCGAGGAATAATGAATTTTTACAAGCATTGTTTTCATTTATCTTAAATTTTAATTATAATAAATATTTAAATAATATCATAGTTTTATTGCAATTTTTTATTTTACGATTCAGAGCAGATTTTCGGGAAAACAGTCGTAGTTTGAAAAAAGAAAAAAATGATCCAAAAAGTCCTGCCGAAACGTCGTGAATATGATAATAAAGATGAGTCCGAATAATGCAATTACAGTAAATACTATCTATCTATCTATCTATCTATCTATCTTAGTCCACACATATCTATTTCTCAGTCTATTGATTAGCATAAATCTGAGTTTAATCATATCTGTCCATTTTGTCACAGTCTGTTCATCTATCTATCTATCTATCTATCTATCTATCTATCTATCTATCTATCTATCTTTGCCATCCAGTTCATTATCTATCTGTCTATTTATCTAGCTATCTGTCTATCTTAGTCTATGCATATCTACCTCAGTCTATATATGCATCTATCTCAGTTTATTCATGTCTATCTGTTCATTTTTGTCTGTCTGTTCAAGTCTGTCAATTTATCTGTTTCAGTTTATTGATATCTATTTATCTCAGTCTATTCATATCTATCTATCTATCTATCTATCTATCTATCTATCTATCTATCTATCTATCTATCTATTTATATCCGTCTGTTCATATTTATCTATTTTCTATTCATATATGTCAATCTTTCACAGTCTATTCATATCTATCTATCTATCTATCTATCTATCTATATATATATATATATATATATCAGTCTATTCATATCTATCTATCTCAGTCTATTCATATCTATCTATCTATCTATCTATATCCGTCTGTTCATATTTATCTATTTTCTATTCATATATGTCAATCTTTCACAGTCTATTCATATCTATCTATCTATCTCTCTCTCTCTCTCTATATATATATATATATATATATATATATCAGTCTATTCATATCTATCTATCTCAGTCTATTCATATCTATCTATCTATCTATCTATCTATTTATATCCGTCTGTTCATATTTATCTATTTTCTATTCATATATGTCAATCTTTCACAGTCTATTCATATCTATCTATCTATCTATCTATCTATCTATATATATATATATATCTATATATATATATATATATATCAGTCTATTCATATCTATCTATCTCAGTCTATTCATATCTATCTATCTATCTATCTATCTATCTATCTATATCCGTCTGTTCATATTTATCTATTTTCTATTCATATATGTCAATCTTTCACAGTCTATTCATATCTATCTATCTCTCTCTCTCTCTCTCTATATATATATATATATATATAAGCAAGTGTAAATGGATATAAATCCGACAGAATGAAGAAATTTTGAAATTTAAAACAATGAAGAAAAATCGTCTGACGTTTCGGTTTTTAAACCGAAACGTCAGACGTCGACATTTCTTTCATTTTAACTACATTTGAGGATTTTTTGTTTGTTTTTCAAAATTTCTTCATATATATATATATATATATATATATATATATATATATATATATATATCAGTTCATTCATATCTATCTATCTCAGTCTATTCATATCTATTCATTATTTATATCCGTCTGTTCATATTTATCTATTTTCTATTCATATATGTCAATCTTTCACAGTCTATTCATATATATATATATATATATATATATATATATATATATATATATATATATATATATATATATATATATATCTCAGTCTATTCATATCTATCTATCTATTTATCCGTCAGTGTCGTCTGACCTCGAGTTTCTGTCCCCAAGTCATGCTTTGATAACATTTAGGAAAACCTCCGGAAAACAAATTAAGATCTAAGCTTAAAGCACATTGGGCGTTCAGAGCCGACGGCAAGAAGGAATTATAATCTTCCGATACCAATAATGCTAGTAAAAAAAAAAAAAAAAAAAAGAAGACGAAGAAGGTAATAATCGGTGGTAGACAAATAGAGAGGCCAGGACGCTGAAAAGCAAGCAAAAACACACAACTGACGCAAGTAAGCAAGAGTAGATTGGGAGGGGGCGTGCGTTTTGTCGATGAGAATGTTCGAACCCAGTTAAAGAACAAGAATTTTTAACTTTGATTTTCAATGGATGCAAGCAGTCCATCTCTAGTTCCCGAGATTATCCCCGAAACCCGTTAACGTCGTCCGGACACCACATGCAGCAGTGCCGTGTTCAGCCCAAGACAGCCTAGCGAAGCTTCCTCCCTGAATCAGGCTAGTTTTAAATTCAAAATTCGCCTAGATTATTTGCCATATAATCTCATGAGAACCCATTCTGCTCTGCTATTTAATACATACATGAGGAGAAAAGAGGTTATTCAGCCTACCACCAAAAAAAGCTATACACGCGTAAGGATTCTGATATTTACAAATACGGACACAAATACACAGAAAATTGCACCAGTAGCAATTTAGGGTAATATGCATCTTTGTAGAAAGGGCATTTTGCTACCTAAATTTTTATATACTCCGTTTTGCACGGCAGTCTTTTTCCAAGTAGCCACAGGTTCTGCATTGAATGACACTTAAGAAGGTAGACATAGCTCCAGTGTCTAAGAAAAAAAAAAGGTAGATATAAGTTCTGTTTACAAGTAAATCAAAAAACGAGAGTCAAAAAAAAGATACACATTGGATGGGTTTACACGAGAATCAAAAACTTGTCAATAGGCATAGATCTGGTGTCTACGAGAGTCGAAAAAAGATAGATATAGGTCCGGTGTCCACTAGAGTCAAAAAGTTAAGCATAGATTTAGTGTCTACGAGAGCCGAAAAAGGTAGACATAGGTCCGGTGTCCACTAGAGTAAAAAAGGTAGGCATAGTCCGCTAGAGTCCAAAAAAGAATATTGCTGCCACATATGGTCCAGTTTTCCTTTTATATATATATATATATATATATATATATATATATATATAATTTTTTTTTAAAAAATTATAACATAAGTATGTTATAAAATCACTACAAAAATAGCCATTTTGTTTCAACACACTCTGTGTCTTATCAAGTGATGATGTTGAAAAGAAAATAAATGGTTTTAAAAGTTTCAGATTAATTAACGATCCTACACTGGGGGAAACATTGTTACAAAAGCTAGAATAACCAATCAAAAACGAAGTATAGAAAGATTCAAAAGCTTGACAACGAAATCCTGCTATAATAGCTATTCAGATCTTTAAATACGTGTAATATTAAAAATAATTTATACTAACTAATAATTATAAAATTATATGATAAAATTTAATATTAAAATTAAAAACTGGCAATTTTAAAATCCAAATTTAATCACTATTAAGTTTAAAAACTACAAAATTATTGAGAAAAGAAAAAATATATATGTTTATTCAATTCATTTCTTCATTGAAATTACGTTAGACAAGACGCTACAATACATCCGGTCATTTGACAATACATGTATATATATTTTTTTCTTTTTCCCTTTCTTTTCCGTTTTTATTTTAAAGTTTGTGAACGTGGTCTTAAACTCACGCGTAAAAACAACAAAAACACAATCAGATTATAATACATAAGCACCCAGACATAATTACACACACACACACACTAAAAAAAAAAAAGAAGGGTGGGGGGGATACATGAACATCTCTACAACCCTCTATATATATATATATATATATATATATATATAGAGAGAGAGAGAGAGAGATCCTTGTTAAAAACAAAGATGAATCCGCAATATTATTGGTCCTGATATGGCACCTCGTCTTCAGTCACTTTCCTACCGCTGCAAGGTTACCTCCCTGTACGTCTTCTATAAATACTTTCATAATAATTGTCCGAATGAGCTCTTCGCTATGGTATCAAGACTGAGTTTAAGCGTAGTACTAGAATGGCAACAAGGTTTCATCAATTTACAGTTAATTTGCTTAGATGTAGCCGTAAGTTCTATGCTAACAGTTTCTTTTCTCGCACTTCTCGCTTGTGAAACTATCTTCTACTTTCTGTGTAAAATGTAAATCCAATGCTAATGCTTTTATTATTTTATTATTACCAATGTATAAAAAAAAAATGAAAACAAGGATTGTCAATGGTCAGGCAATAAAACAAATATTACTGGATGAATGGGGTTATTATATACGCATTTCTAATTATGTTTCTATAGAGAAGCATTGGAAATCAGGAAGAAAAGGATTGTCAGTAGAGAAATAAATTTAAGCTTTGCCGATAGAAAAGAATTATTATATACCGTGTGTAACAGCAAAATTGTCCAAATGGTGTAACAGCAAAATTGTCCAAATGGTGTAACAGCAAAATTGTCCAAATCGTGTAACAGCAAAATTGTCCAAATCGTGTAACAGCATGGGATAATTGTCCATGCCACAAAATGTTTAATATCTAAAAAAAAAAAAATCTCGGAGTTTCTTTATTCCAGGATTTCAGATAAGACACCATTTGTTGTAAGAATCAGTGAAGAAACCTTTTGAGTTATTGAGCTAGAAAGAGAACAGGTTAAAATTCCCAACTGAGCAATGGTGAGAGGAAAAAGATCATTCAGACCTTTGGTAATGATGCTAACTTCGAAGTCTATTCAAGAACCATCAAGAGAACGGTGAATAAGTTTTTAAAAAAAGGAACAGTAGTTAGGAAAACTGGATCATGGGATCACAAGAGGGATCATTATTTCAACTTAAAGCTAAATCCAATAGAGTTATAAAAACCTCAGAGAATTCCATTAAGAGATCTTTAATCATTTCTAAGATACAACGGTTTAAAGCTTAATCTAACAATTGGACAATTTTGCTGTTACAATCTGTATATAATGTAAATGCACAATTGTACCACAGAAATGCATTGAAAATCGTTACAAACCCCACCGGAAGTAGTCCGGAAATAATGCTACTTACTGATACAATAGGTTATTATTTGTGTAATGTAAATGCATTGCTAATGATTTTACTCTATGAATGCGTTGAAAATCAGGAAGAAAGGGATTGTCAATAGTCAGGAATTAAAGAAAGTATTACTGATAGAATCCGGCTATTATACACATAATATAAATGCATTGCTAATGATTTTACTCTATGAATGCGTTGAAAATCGGGAAGAAAGGGATTGTCAATGGTCAGGAATTAATGCAAACATTACTGATAGAATACGGTTGTTATATGCATAATGTCAAAGTAGATTGAAATCGACTGTCAATGTTCAGAAATGAATGCAAGCATTATTGATAGAATAGGACTATTATATGGATAATGTCAATGCATTATGGATCAGTTTTCTATGAAATTGCATTGAATATTAGGAAGAAAGTTCCTGTAATTGAACGCTATTTACATAATAAATCCATTGTCTGAATATTAATTACGATAATACATCATATCAGAGGTTCTATTGGAAGCATTAAGAAAACAAATATTAATTGTTTTCAGCAAGAAGCGTTCAGGTAAGTCTGATCGTCTATGACCTTGAAGGTTAAATATTGGCTTAAGGAATAATGTCATTTTTATCTCTTCTAAAAAGATCGAATTGATGTTCGGCTCAGCAAATAAAGTGCGTCTTATACGATGGTTGAAACTTTTCTTTCTCTGCAAATTCTTGTCATTCTTACTTTACTGCAACTCGAAGTTCATTTTTTGTTTTTAAATTGTTTTTAAATTAAAAGAAATAAAAATTTAAAAAGAAAAAAAAAGAAATATGAAAATATTAGTGATTTAACGTGTTTAGTCGTTGGTGGTTGAGAGTTATTTGCATTTCGTGATTCGTAGGCCGTTGGGTGATTTCGTCTCGGGCGTCGGCTGTCATGCGACAGGAGAGAAAGCCACGGGTGAAATGGAATTTCCCGTTACTTAAAAACTTCAAGGAATGGAGAAAGAGATACAGAGAGAAAGAGAGAGAGTGGGGAAAGAGATACAGCGAGAGAGAGATACACACACAGAGAGAAAGAGAGATACAGCGAGAGAGATACAGAGAGAGAGATACAGAGAGAGAGAGATACAGAGAGAGAGAGAAAGAGAGATACAGCGAGAGAGACACAGAGAGAGATACAGAGAGAGATACAGAGAGAGAGAGATACAGAGAGACAGAGACAGAGAAGGAGAGATACAGAGATACACAGAGAAAGATACAGAGAGAGAGATACACAGAGAGAGATACAGAGAGAGAGAGATACACAGAGAGAGAGAGATACACAGAGAGAGAGAAAGAGAGAGAGAAAGAGAGATACAGAGAGAGAGATACAGAGATACACAGAGAGAGAGAAAGAGATACAGAGAGAGATACAGAGAGATGCAGAGAGAGAGATACAGAGAGAGAGATACAGAGAGAAAGAGAGATACAGCGAGAGAGATACAGAGAGAGAGAGGCAGAGAGAGAGAGACAGAGAGGGAGAGATACAGAGATACACAGAGTGAGATACAGAGAGAGAGAGATACACAGAGAGAGATACAGAGAGAGAGATACACACAGAGAGAGAAAGAGAGAGGGAAAGAGAGATACAGACAGAGAGATACAGAGATACACAGAGAGAGAGAAAGAGAGAGAGAAAGAGAGATACAGAGAGAGATACAGAGAGAGAGATACAGAGAGAGATAGAGAGATAGAGAGAGAGATAGAGATACAGAGAGAAAGATACAGAGAGAAAGATACAGAGAGAGTGATACACAGAGAGAGAGAAAGAGAGATGCAGAGAGAGAGAGACATACAAAGAGATAGATACAGGGAGAAAGAGATACAGAGAGATACTGAGAGAGAGGGGGAAAGAGAGAAAGAAAGATAAAGAGAGAGATACAGAGAGAGAGATACAGAGAAAGAGAAAGAGAGATACAGAGAGAGACACAGAAAGAGATATACAGAGAATGAGAGATACAGAGAGAGAGAGAGATACAATGAGAAAGAGAGATACAGAGAGATACAGAAAGAGAGATACAGAGAGAGAGAGAGGGAAAAGAGAAAGAGATAACGACATAGAGACTGAAAGCAAATGACTTTCTATTCCGTCGTTTGTTAATTCGTTATTTAAAATGTCGTCAAATTCAGTTCGGTTCCCATGTTCATAAAATCAGGGGGAAAAGTTCCAGTCTTTATTTTCTTTTAAACAGACGATCAAAACTTCTGAAACAATCTTCCTATGTTTCGTAAGTTGCCTCTTCAGGACGTGGGTGATCATAGCCCTTCACAACACAGGCTTTTTGTGATCATACCTCTCCACAACTTCCTATCCTTTGTAGTTCTTAGTAGAGTTTGTTTTTTACTATCCCCCAATCCCTGTTCTGCCATCCATTTACACTGGCTTGTTAAGTAGACGATCATAGCTCTCCACAACTTCCTATCCTTTGTAGCTCTTGTCAATGTTTGTCTTTTTACTATCCATTCCAATCCCTGTTCTGCCATTCATTTACATAGGCTTGTTAGGTAAGTGATCATGGCTCTCCACAACTTCCTATCCTTTGTAGCTCTTAGCAGGGTTTGTGTTTTTACTATTCTTCGCAATCCCAGTTGTGCCGTCGATTTACACAGGCTTATTATTTTGTTTTCTCTCTGCTTTCCTCTTCCCTTCTTGGCTTCAGTAAGTCCACTTAGCGTTTTTATCTTCTGGCCTCTTACAAGTGATGGTTAGTCTTTTTTTCCTGCTTTCTTTTACTACCTTCTGTAGTTTCCTTTCCTTTCCATCAACCCAGCGTATTCTGAGTATCTTATATTGTTGGGATTAGTCCCACAGATTATAAATCATCGTAGAGTTTACAACACCCTGAGGAGAGATTCACTGTAGACGATGAATCAATCCGGTGAGAAGACACACCCTTGTCTCATGGCCTTTACTATTCTTGTGCATTTGCACAATTCATTTTTTTAATCGTATGCAGGCGTTATGCTCCCAGTATAACTTCAGGATTATTCTAACGTCCTTTGCAAGTAGATCTAATTTTCCTAACAGTTCAAATAGATCACGTTATGCCGTTCCTGAGCAAATAATTTTGCATAATCGATAAAACTGTCATATAGGAATAAAATTAGTAACTACCGACACCGAGGTTCGTGCGTGACACTCTGGATTTATGAATATATGTTTTCCGCCAGGTGTCAGGCTACTGACTGCAGTGATTATTGAGTGGAACTATCCAGTCGAATTAGTGTGAATTATTGTGCATCAATGATTTGGGTTTTGATTTAGAATTTACTGAATGTTAATCCACGCCACGCTACTAACAAGGCATTCACTTAAATGATTATATTTGGTTGACTTTTACTACTTTGTCCTTGTTAAGTATGTATTTACCGTTGTAATCAAATACTTGAGTTATACTTAATTACTAACTGACGCTCTACGGTATATTGGGGGATTGAATAATGATGGATGAGTTCTTGTTGTGGATGTGCAAATTTTAATGAATGAATGGGCCGTGAATCTGATTAGATATGTATAAGATAGTAAGCGACGATCAGCCTCAACCAATATCCCCATTTTCAGCTTTGTGCAACAATTGTATTTTATATGCAATAAATCAAGATTATTGAGTGACTATTGAATGGAACTATCCAGTCGAATTAGTGTGAATTATTGTGCGTCGGTGATTTGAGTTTTGGCTTACGATTTACCAGACGTTAAGCCGAGCCGCGCTACTAACAAGGTATTCACTGAAATGGTTAATTATCGTTGGTTGAATTTTACTTCTTTGTTCTTGTTAAGTATTTATTTGCGGTTGTAATTAAATACTGCTTTATCTTAACATTGAAATCTTGAGTTATACTTAATCCTTAACGGCCATCGTACGTCGAAGTTTATTCCTAGATTTTGTAAGATTGTATGATTCGGATTCGAGTTAGGCTTAAATATTAGTTTATAATTTATACCTAGTTTTTCAGATATGGTTAGATATTAGGTATATTTTATATTCGGTGCTTTTTTTTCTTCTTTAGATAAAACTTCAACTCTTTCTGAACCAAATCTTCAAACTAAACTTGTGGTGGCAGAGAAAAATAATGCATGTAAACTAAAGTTAATATTTTTTTGTACTTATGACTATTAGACTCTACTACTTAGGATCAAGGTGTAGTACCTGTCCAATCCCTTGTAAACTGTTATCAATTATGCTTTATAATTGTCATAAAGGAAAGAAATGAGCAACTACCGACACCAAGGTTCGAGCGTGACACTCTGGATTTATGAATATATGTTTTCCGCCAGGTGTATAAATAACGATGTCAGGCTACTGACTGTAGTGACTATTAAGTGGAACTATCCAGTCGAATTAGTGTGAATTATTGTGCGTCGTAAGTATTTATTGGTGGTTGTAATTAAATACTGTTTTATTTTAACATTAAAGTCTTGAGTTTTACTTAAATATTAACGACC